CTGATGACAAGGGCACACCTCTGCATGACAGGGCTGACGGGACACTGATGACAGGGTCTTTGGTGACGGGGACCAGGGAGGAAATGGGACATCCTGACAGGTGACACCGGGGTGACAGGTGGTGTCTCTGGTGACAGGGACACCTCTGATGACAGGTGACAAGCCTCTGCGTGGCAGGCGGTGTGGACCTTGGGGACCTGGTGGGCATGTGGGGGCCGGGTGCGTGCGGCTCTGCTCCGAGTGCGGGGACGGTTGTTTTTTATATGTTGTAAGAATTTTGGCCGTGACGGAGACGGGGCCAGGATCTCTCGTTTCCGGGGGGGGTCCGTCGTTGTTGTTGAGAGAGACTTGCCAGATGCCGTTCACGGGCCCCGTCCTTCCCTGAGTGGCCCGAGCTTGGGGACACGGCGCCGGCTGGGAGCCCCCCGTCCCCGCACTCGGAGCAGAGCCGCACGCACCACTGCCCCCACATGCCAGAAACCCCAGGTCCCCAGGTTCACACCGCCTGCCACGCAGAGGCTGTCACCGTCATCAGAGGGTGTCCCTGTCGACCAGAGACACCACCTGGTGCATCAGAGGGGTTGGTCACCTGTCAGGATTGTCCATTGTCATCAGAGGTTGTCGACCCGTCACCAAAGACACCACTTGGCATCGAGGGTGTCCCGTCAGAGATGTCACCTGTCATCAGAGGTGTCACCTGTTCAGAGATCTGTCACCTGTATCAGAGGTTGTCACCCGTCACCAAAGACAGCCACTTCTTGTCATCAGGTGTCTCATGCCAAGAGAGTCACCTGTCATCAGAGGTTGTCTCCACGTCAACAACCAAAACAACACTTGTTCATCAGGTGTCTCATCACAGAGATGTCACCTGTCATCAGACGGGGTCACCTGGTCACCCAAACGACACCAACTTGTCTATCAGAGGTGTCCCCATGTCAAGAGATGTCATGTCATCAGAGGTGGTCCAACCCATCACCAAAGACACCAACTTGTCATCAGGTGTTTCATCAGAGATGGTCACCATGTCACAGAGGTGTCACCGTCAGCCAAAGACAGCACTTGTCATCAGGTGGCTCATTCAGAGATGTCACCTGTCATCAGAGGTGTCACACGTCACCAAAGACACCACTTGTCATCAGAGGTGTCCCCTGTCAGAGATGTCATTTGTCATCAGAGGTGTCACCCATCACCAAAGACACCACTTGTCATCAGGTGTCCCGTCAGAGATGTCACCTGTCATGAGAGGTGTCACCCGTCACCAAAGACACCACTTGTCATCAGAGGTGTCCCCTGTCAGAGATGTCACCTGTCATCAGAGGTGTCCCCTGTCATCAGAGGTGTCACCTGTCACCAGAGATGTCACCCATCACGAGAGACACCACCTGTCAGAGGTGTCACCCATCACCAGAGATACTGCCTGTCATTAGAGGTGTCACCTGTCAGAGATCTGTCACCTGTCATCAGAGGTGTCACCCATTATCAGAGACCACCTGTCAGAGATATCACCTGTCATCAGAGGTGTCACCTGTCAGAGATATCACCTGTCATCAGAGGTGTCACCTGTCAGATCTGTCACCTGTCATCAGGGGTGTCACCTGTCATCAGGGGTGTCACCTGTCAGATCTGTCACCTGTTATAAGAGGTGTCACCCATCACCAGAGACACCACCTGTCATGATAGGTGTCACCTGTCATCAGAGTGGTGTCATCCAGCTCCCGAGCCGGCGCCCAGCCCCCCAGGCGTGACCGCAGGGCGCACGGAAGAGCACACCAGTCCTCAGCAAGAATAAAGTATCTCCTTTAATTGGCCAGTAAAATACGCTGCAAAACATTAGTATTTTATAAACAGACGTGAATACAAACCCTGTTACAGCTCAGCACAGCCTCACCGCCGTGTCCCCACGGCGACAATACACTTTCCTCCACTGTTGTGGTGACAGGCAATGTCAGTCCCCGAGTCTGGGTTGAGCCTGAACGACGGTCCCCAACGGGGACGGGGAGACAGGGGCACACGGACCCGGTGCACACGCTTCCCAGCGCCCGCCTGCAGCCCCGTGGGACGCCGTGCGTGGAGGGGGCGTGGGAGGTGACGGCCAGCGTTCTGGGTCCACAGAGACGCGGCGAGAGGGCGCAGGCCGGGAGGGCCCATGTCACTGTCACCGCAGGCCCACGCCCACACGCCGGACTCCTCCCTGCGTGGATTCCCTCTGAGCACGGCCACTCTCCTGACACGCACGGGTGCCCGCCCGCGGCGGCCGCTCCTCGCAGGCCCAGCCCTGACGCCAGGAGTCACTTCCTAGCAAAGAGCTACCTCAAAGTGGTCCTTTAACAACGTTAAGACAAACAGCTTCGAAACCGCGTGGTGCCTCAAACCCCGTGGAAACGGCAAGAGTGTGAGCCGGGCCGAGAGCGGGGCCCTCCCCGCGGCCCCTCTGCGGCGGGACCCCCGGGCCCTCAGCACCCCCGGGCGGATTTCCCCGAAGCTCTGCGTGTCCAGCGCAAAGCGACCCTTTGGCCGGGAACAAAGCCACATCCAGGGCCCACGGGGCAGTCGGTGCCCGGGGCGGGGCGCGGCGAGATCCATGCTGAGCTGCACACGCGGGCGCGGTGCACGCGGGCGGAAGCACGTGCTCTGTGGCAGAGGCGCGGCGCTGGGCGCCCCGTGGCTGTCGACGCCCACGGCCCGACGTCTGGCCGGCCGCGGGGTCAGCAGGTCGAAAGCCGGCGCGCACTCGCGCGCGGCGCGGCGGGAGGGATGGCAGCTTCTCCGGGCCCGGCGTGGCCCGGGGCGTGGCTCGGCGGCGTGGCCGGCAGTGCGGGGCTGCGCTGGTCCCAGGGAGGAGGCGCCACGGCCCGCCCTCGTGCCTGCTCCCTCGCGGCGTGCACGTCAGATGGAATGCGTGGAGGTCTCCGACTGCTGCCTGACGCAGCTCTGGAAGGTCCTGTCGCCGATGGGGTGCTCCCTGCCGGGAGGAGAGCGTGAGCCCAGCCCCGCGCGGCCGGGACCTTCACCTTTCACCGCGGCAAGCACGGAACCGACGGAAGACCAACCGGCACGGACCCCCTCTGGAAGTGCCCACTGCGGCCCTCGTCTGTTGTGTGCACACACGTAGGTCATGTGTGTACGCACGGTGGCATGTGGTGGACTGTGTGGACTGCATGGATGTGCGGGTCAGCAGGTCGACCCACACCGAGTGTGGGTGTGTGTGCAGAGTGTGTGCACAGTGTGGGTACACACGTGTGGCATGTGCGGGGGCTGTGTGCAGTGCATGGAGTGTGCAGCACCTTTGCAAAGTGTATGCACACGTGTGGGTTCTGGGTGCACACATTGTGGCATGTGTGGGGGCTGTGTGTGCAGCGTGGAGTGTGCAGCACCTTGCAGAGGTGTGCACCATGTGTGGGTACACACGTGTGGCATGTGGGGGGCGTGTGGCAGTGCGATGGACTGTACAGCACATCTGCAGAGTGTGGGCATAACGTGTGGGTTGTTTGCACACATGTGGGCATGTGTGGGGACTGCGTGGCAGTGCGTGGAATGTGAGCGAACCTTTGCCAGAGTGTGGTGCACATGGTGTGGTCGTGCGGGTACACACGTGTGCCATGCGTGCGGGCTGGTTCCAGCCACATCGCAGAGGTGGCACACGTGTGGAGTGTGAGCTCCAGGGCACGGGTCTGTCCGTCTGTGAGCCGTGCCTGGCACGTCACGGGGGCTCAGTAGCCGCCGCCGCGGCACACGCCTGACTCGAGCAGCAGGGCCGGCTGCAGGGCGCTCTGCAGCCCGCCAGCTCATGCCCGGCATCACACGTGAGCGACGCCGTGCGACAGCGCAGCGTGCGATCCCCCAGACGCGGGCCCTCCGCCGGCGGCCGCGGTGAGCACGGGTGAGGGTTGGCGATTGGACAGCACGCTA